GGCCAGGACACTAGAAGCCCCCCCACTGTTGCCCCTCCCCAAGCACCAAGAATACAGAGCATCACTTGCCCCAGTCTGAGAGTTCCTATCTATACCTTGTGGCTAATAGCCACTGATGGACTTCTGCTCCATATGCTTATCTAATTCCCTCTTGAAGCTGTCCATGCTGAGGATTGGTCTCTTAGCACCTACTTCTGGGGAAGTGCACTTCGTGTTGTTGAAAAGCAGTAGAACATTCCTTACCACTGGAATCCTTTTGGATTATATATGGATTTATAATTGCCATTAATTGGCACAGTAATAGGTCAGCTGCTAACAGGAATGCATTTTCTTCTCCCCTTTTTCTTGTGCTTTACAGGCGAGCTCCTAGTTTATTTTCAGTTAGCGAAGGGTTCAATTAGGAGGTTAAAAGGGACAGGGCTGATGGATGGCGGTGCAGCCCTACCCATTACAGAGTGTGTGCCGAGGGTTTCATAGCAAAGTGTGTTTCTTCTCCTGAAATAATTTGATTTATTGGGGCGACTGTTCTTTGCAATCCAAGTCCCATTAGTGGCTTAATTAATTGGGAGGCCACGTGATGGATTTCTAACCCATTGGCTAGATGGCTTGTTACTAGCTGTATAATGGGAGAAATGAGCTCCCTCCCCTTCTGCTACTGAGAATAGGGAATGGGGCGGCTTCAAACTGGGAATCGTCGGCGTGGGTCTCTGCTAAGTGCCAGGTTTGGTTGCCCCTTGTCTCAGAGACATGGGTGTGGAAGAGACGGATTCACGGACCGGAAGGATGAGATCATCGGGTTGAGAGAGTTCGACAAAGCTGTGAAAGGAAGGGATTGTTACAAGTCAGGTACTCAAAAGTGATGGATTCAATCAGGGGATAAAACTTTTCTAGGACAGACACATAGAAGCAGGCGGTTGATGCTGTCTCTTAAAACTGAGGTGAACGAACAGCAGGCCCAGTCATTATAGCTCCCCCCATTTTATGGCTTTTTTTAATACTGAAGGGGTGAATATCAAAATTATAGATTGTTTCCCAAATTATAGGGGGGAAGGAGGAGGAGGAGATTAGATTTATACTCCACCCTTCACTACCCAAAGGAGCCTCAGAGCAGCTTACAATCTCCTTCCCCTTCCCACAACAGACACCCTGTGAGGTGGGTGGGGCCGAGAGAGCTCTTTGGAGAACTGCTCCTGAGAGAACAGCTCTGAGAGAACTTGTAACTGACCCAAGGTCACACCAGCGGCTGTATGTGGAAGAGTGGGAAATCAAACCCGGTTCTCCCAGATCAGTGTCCATGCTCCTAACCACCACACCAAACTGGCTATGAGAATTGGGTTAGTGTCACAAACTATGTTCCCTCTAAGCTGTGGAGTTTTGTGAGCAGAAATTCTACTTTGTGAGCTGCTAGCATTAGAGTTGTGAGTGAGCGATTTGGCTGCTGCTTGAATTATTTTGCTTTGGAGCCCTCCTTCCTGAGCTGAGACAAAAGCTTGTGAGCCGGAGGCTTAAAAACTGTGAGCTAGCTCACACCAACTCAGCTTAGAGGGAACACTGGTCACAAACCAGTTTTGGGTAATGGAAGTCTTCTGTAAACCATTTAAAACCCCTCTGTTTGTGGCATGAATGAATATAAAATCTGGCAAATCAAGATAGAATCTCTCTGTCTCAATTTGCCCCCTAATCTTTGCATTTTGATGAAAAAGTCAGCAAGATAAGTGGCTTCCAAGTAGTAAATAAAATCTAACCATACCTACAAAAGACAGTTGTAGTCCTTCAAGGCCATCTTTGTACCCAATTAGGGCCCTCGACGCTGTCAACAGTAAATAACATAAGAACATAAGAGACGCCAATGTTGGATCAGGCCAAAGGCCCATCCAGTCCAGAACTCTGTCACACAGTGGCCAGAAATACCAGGTGCCATCAGGAGGTCCAGCAGTGGGGCCAGGACACTAGAAGCCCTCACACTATTGACCCCCCCCCCTCGTCATGTGCCCTGCCCCCGTACCTCACCCAGGGGAACTGCGATCCCCCGTGATCCCCCCCGAAATGACCTCTGCACACACATCAATTTTAAAGACAGTACGTATGTATAAAACCTACAGTAAATATTTGTTGGAGGATTAAATTAGCTGTATCAAAGATGTAACTCTTCGTTTAAAAAAATGAGTGATGCATTTCTCAGGATTCAAAATAAGCTTTGTTTCCTTCTATTACTTAATTTATGGCTCACTTGATCCTGTGCCGAGTGACGAAACTGAGTTCCCTTCTTTCCACCTGACATTTCCAAATGAATGTCTTCAGTATGTTAAGATTGTTCAGTTGCTTAATCATTTTGGGTGGACGTGGACTGGCACCCTCACTTTTAGTAAAGGGAGTGGAGAAACTTCTCCAGAGACCTCGAGACTGAGATTCCTCCAGATCATTGTCTATATTGCTTTTACGCAGATAATACCAATTTTATTGAAGGGCCACCAATTGAAAGGCATATTTTCTTCTCTCTGGTTTTATACAAAGTAATAAAAGTGTTGTGTCCGCTGACCACCACCGGGGGCCAGCGCGCACTCTTGAGCTTGAGTCCTGGACAACAATGGGGACTGGGATCCTGGTCCCGTCCCTCCCTGGGGGAACAAATGGGCCCGTGGCGGGAGATTTAAACCCGCCAATGGGACCCAGGGGTGTGTCCCCGGGAAGTGTATATAGTTGGCCAGCCGGCCGTTGTTTGGGGTCTTTGTTGTGTACCAGTAAAGCTAAACTGATAACTGCATCAGTCTCCATGCTTTCTTCATGCGTCTAACCCATTACACTTCAAAAAGCAACTAAGAAAGCACAGCTGGGAGTGATTTCTCTGTACCGTAGTATCCCAATTGAAATGGAAAAGGGAGTGGTTGAAGAAGAAAAGGGGGGGGTCAAATGGAAGGGGTATAGTTGGAGGGGAAAGAGGCTGTACCAAAGGGGAAAGGGGGCTGAAAAGTACTGGGTTCGACGCATGGAGAACTCGGACTACGACATGCGTTCAGACTCGTTTATTGTACTTCACAGCAAGACATAGCAAAAACAGCCCTGCAAGGCTGACTATATACACTCCCACCCAGCACATCTCTGTCCCCATTGGAGGGTTTGAATTTCCCACCAAGGGTGCTATTGGTGGACTCGAGGTGGACTAGGATCCTAGGTCCCCTTTGTGTTTGGGGACCAAGCTCCTGTTTAAGCCGTGGTCCCCTGGTGGCGGTCTGCATATATAACAGGGGCCCTGTTATACCCCTTCGTCCAGGGCCCACACAATCCTGAAGAGCAAGTTTGGTGTAGTGGTTAAGAGTGTGGAATCAAATCTACCAGTTTTGTTTGGTGGTTAAGAACGTGGACTCTAATCTGGGAGAACCGGGTTTGATCCCCCACTCATCCACAGGCAGCTGCTGGTGTGATCTTGGGTCAGTCACAACTGTTCCCTCTAAGCTGTGGAGTCTTGTGAGCAAAAAACTACTTTGTGAGCTACTGGTATTCAAGTTGTGAGCAAGCGATTTGGCGACTGCATATATTAGGTTGCTCTGGAGCCATCTTTCCTGAGCTAAGACAAAAATGTGTGAGCCGGAGACTAAAAAACTGTGAGCTAGCTCACACTAACTCAGCTTAGAGGGAAAACTGGGACTCACAAGTTCCTTCAGAGCTGTTCTCTCAAGAGCAGTTCTCTCAAGAGCTCTCTCAGCCCCACCTACCTCACAGGGTATCCGTTGTGGGGAGCGGAAGAGAAGGAGCTTGTCAGCCATTCTGAGACACCAAGTGAAGGGCGGGGTAAAATCCAACTCCTCCTCTTCTGCTTCTGAAACTGACCCTGTGAAGACCCCATCAGAACGCTGTGTCCATTTTGGGCTACCCATCTTCAGGACTGGAGTAGTCACAAAGAGAGCATCCTAAAATGACTGCTCTGCAAGGGAGGAGACCCCTGTGTTATGAGAAGAGGCCACAACAACCCCTAAGTGCGCTTAGCCTAAGATGAAGAACTTCCATGTGACTTTAGAAAGGGCTGTGTCTCAATTAGGATTGCCAGGGCATTGAACTTGCTGTATTTCAATGGGTAATTGTATTGAAGTAAAAGAAGAAGGGGACGGCAAAGAAGGAGATGATTAGACAGTGTTATTATCGATGAAACAAACATGAAATTAAGCAATTAAGTAAATTGCAGAGCCCCCCCCCTTGCCCCTCCTCCAAAACACTCCAGTGGCACCTTTAAGACCAAGTTTTATTCAGGTACAAGCTCTCCCTCCTCTGCAAGGACAGATCTGCACGTTCCCCCCACCCCAATAGCTAGCAATCCAAAACAGTCCAGTGGAGCCTGAGTGGTGGGTGTTGCCTTCTGACACACTTCCAGTGATGTCATACTTGTTATGTTTATTTGATTTACTTGCTGTTATGCTTATTTGATCATTATATACTTGCTTACTTGCTTGTGCGTTATTATTTTTTGCCAGTGGTGTTCTTTTTTGTTTCCTACACTTCCAGTGATGTCAGGGGGTGTGGCATATGCAAATAAGTTATGCTAATGAGTTATGCTAATGAGCTCCTGCACCTCTTTTTCTACGAAATGTCCAGAACCATATTTCCAGGGTATAAAAATAGCTTCAGTCCTGCAGCAATAAACAGAGAGCCAGTTTGGTGTAGGGGTTAGGAGTGCGGATTCTAATCTGGAAGAACCAGGTTTGATCCCCCACTCCTCCACATGCAGCTGCTGGTGTGACCTTGGGCCAGTCACAAGTTCTCTCAGAGCTGTTCTCTCAAGAGCAGTCCTTGAAGGAACTCTCTCAGCCCCACCTACCTCACAGGGTGTCTGTTGTGGGAAGGGGGAAGGGAAAGGGTATTGCAAGCTGCTCTGAGTGAAGAGGGGATATAAATCCAGCTCTCCTCCCCCTCCTTCTATTCTTTTTTTTTAATGAGGTCTTGGTAAGTAAATACAGAATTAAAGACCAGTGCACTCTTGTTGCCAAAATTGCTAGTAGGCTGAGGGAGGGGCTGTGGCTCAGTGGTAGAGTATCTGTTTGAGATGCAGAAGGTCTCAGGTTCAATCCCAGGCATCTCCGGTTCAGGACCAGGCAGTAGGTGATGTGAAAGGCCTGTGTCAGGGACACTGGAGTGCTTTTGGAGCCTGAGTAGGCAATACTGACCTTGAGGGACCGAGGGCATGGTTCATGTGTTCATGTGCATATATGTGATTTCGTCTGAGAGCTGGTCACCTATTTCTGTTCTACTTCTCTCCTGGAAATTATTTTAAAATTCCGTTTCCAAAATGCCAGCTGGGGACCACAGATTCCACCAGTCGGGGGTTTAATCCTCAAGAAGTGTATACAGCAGTACACTTCTGGGTTCCCAATGGCTGCCAAAATTGGTCTTGTCGATTAGGGCTTTTAAGTTCGCCCAGTGTTTAACTCGGTCTAATGGTAAGTGCTCTTCCCCCCCCCCCGCCCAACAACACCAGAGACGCAGGATAACATTGTTACTGGGCCCTATTGATTTTCCTAGTACCGTTTCAACATTGCCTGCCATCTTTCAAAGAGAAAAGGGCCTTCCATGGCTGGTTATCAAGGTCGTGCTCAAAATGTGTGGCCAACTCATACAGCTCAGGTCAATGCAGCACAGAATTGTTTTTTTAAAAGAAAAGCAACCTCTGGAAGTGTAACTAGCACAGGCATCCAAAAGCCCTTGTTTGAACGGCCTGTGCTAGCTTTTGAGGACGATAAAAGGGTCATAACCAAGTGACAGAACACACTGTATGCCAAAGGCTCCAAGTAGAAATGAGTCGTGATGGCCAAACACCGGTGGATTTGGATTGCCTCATAATCACCAGTTGCAGATATGCCACTGATTCATCAGTGATTGGATCATCTAATCTCCAAGCCATTCATCAAAGTTTGGTTGGGGGCTGCACAACAGCTTGCACACATGCTCAACGTTTGCGCACATGCTCTGTCTCTTCCCCCCAGTTGTGCCACGTGGGCACCATTCTTTTCTCTGCAACTACATTTAAAACGTGTGATGAATGTCTTCCAAAATGAAAGCTTTGAAGTAGAGCCTTCCTTTCATTGTTCCCATTAATGATTTTGGAGTCTGGCTGCCGATGTACATGGTTTGCCATGGCTTTTGTGTGTTTGCCGCTTGGCAAAGAAGCATAGTGGTTTCAGTTTCCCATACAACAAAGAATAGATCAACAAGGGAATTGGTCCAATATGGTTTCTGCAAGTAGAATGAAGCTGTGATCCTTCCCCCTGGGAGTAAGCTCAGGATAGGGATGGGCACAAACTGAACCACAAAACAAAATTCCTCATGAATTTTGCCATGTTCATGGTTCGTGAACTGAAGTTTATGACGGGTCTACCATCACGAACTTCCACAAACTTTTAAAGCCGTTCGTGGTGGTTGGTTAGTGATGGTTTGTGGATAGAGCAGAAAGCAGGAGTTTAAAGGGACTCGGAGTCCCTTTAAGCCCCTGCTTTCTGTTCCCTGTGAAAGCTGCAAAAACAGCCCAGATTGGGAATCCCTCTTCACTGAGTTTGAATAGCCCAGTTTGGTCTGAGCTTGTCAGGGTGGGCATGGGGTGGCTACAGGCCCGAGCTTGAGATATATATTTTTTTCCTTTTATTTATTATTGAATTTCTATCCTGCCGACCCACTGCATAGCAGGGCTCAGGGCACATTACCTCAAGAGTTATGCAACACACTTAGACGATAATTTAACAGTTAAAACATAATGATAAAATATAGAAAAACCTACAATAGACCAGCGGGCGCTCCTAAAATTAATAACTTTTGTACGAATGCACACCAATAACCAAGTCCTGGGGAAGTGGACAGAACCGTAGACGGCTGCACTGAACAAACAGTGCTAGGCGAAGCAGGTTGTCCTGGAATACGGGCAGAGCAAGGCCACAGAGCTAGATCACAGGAGTCCAGTCAAGGGGTCAAATAGCAGTTTAGCAGCAGTCAGAGTTCGTGGGTTGTTCAGGAAAGCAGAGTCGAGGCAGTCTGAGGTCATTGATCAGCAACGTTCTGGCAGGTCTGAAAAGCAGAGTCAAGGGTCAGTCCAAAAGTCACAGAGGCAGGCAGTGTCTGAAGTTGTGGTCACACAGTTCACAGGATTGTGACAAGTTGCTTCCACAGTCTGCAGCTCTCCAGATCTGATTTACAGAGGCATTCCTTAAGAAGGCTGATTTATAGCCATCTGCTCAGAGGTGCTCCTGCATGTACTCAGAATTGTTATAATCTGTGCTGTTTTGGAGGGGGCTGAAAGGAAGCAAACAACCATGATGTGTAGTGCCAAAAAAAAGTGCTTCACAAACTTGTAAATTCTTTTTTCAGTATTCATTTCACTGGAAGCAATTCAAACACCATCAGCACCAACGAACCATGCATATTACATCTCGTTTCATGTATACCTTTATCAAAGTGGGTAGCATTGAAATACCTATATAATGTTAATCCATTTGGCAAACACTCTAGTCATACCTCATAGTCACATTCATCAAATCCAGGGGTCATTTCCTGCAGGAGCGCACAGGAGTGGAGCTCCGGCAGTAAAGAGCCCAGGGGGTGGGCACATGCAACAAGCCCCACCCCCTGCTCCCAGCAGCCCTCAGTCAGAGCAAGAAGCAACCAGGTAAATTGCAGAGCCCCCCCCCAAGTCCAAAACAGTCCAGTGGCACCTTTAAGACCAAGTTTTATTCAGGTACAAGCTCTCCCTCTTCTGCGAGGAGAGATCTGCACGATCCCCCCCCCCAATAGCTAGCAATCCAAAACAGTCCAGTGGAGCCTGAGCCGTGGGTGTTGCCTTCTGACACAGTTCCGGTGATGTCAGGGTGTGTGGCATATGCAAATAAGTTACGCTAATGAGTTATGCTAATGAGCTCCTGCACCTCTTTTTCTATGCAATGACCCCTGATGTAAATTCCACTCTTCCTACTGATATTTACATCTCTAAAGCCCGTAATTGCACTGTTTTGGAGGGGGCCATGACAGTTAAGCAGAGGAAGGTAAGGGCAAGCCACCTCTGCTTGCATGAACGTTTGAAGTTGCTTTATGCTGAATCAGACTGTTGGCGCCATCAGTATTGTCTACTCAGACTGGCAGCAGCTCTCCAGGGTCTGAGGCTGAGGTCTTCCCCATCACCTACTGCCAGCTCTTTTGACTGCAGATGTGGGATTGAACCTGGGACCTTCTGCATGCCAAGCGGATGCTCTGCCACTAAGCCATGGTCCCTTCCTCCCTCTCTCGCTTGGAATGTCCCATGGTTGGGGGTTGCCAGGGATTGGTTGCGACTTGACAGCAAGTTCTTCTTCCTCTCAGCTGTTCATCAGATCTCCCAGAGATCATGTTAGGATCTACAGAGCAGTCTGATGGGAAACAATGAAGATCTGAAACCCACCCTCACAGGACTTTGCGATCCTTCCTTATAAAAATACAGTTCCTCTGTGGTAACCAGTACGCTAAGGAGCCAGATGGATTGTGGAGCAACAGAATGGATCGTGTGCACGTGTAGTCAGTCCTTGGTCAAATAAACATTTGCACAAGGCAGGCTCATCAGAAGTCAATGGTTTCTGAAGCCAGCGTGCTAATACTGCGTCTAATCACTGATGCTGTTTTAAGACGTTTTAAATCGATACTTCTAGCATGCCGTTACCTAAACAATTTTCTGCAGAGATATTTTACCCTTTATATCATGTGTGAAGCCATCGTAGCAGAAAATTGCAAATGATTCAGGAACAGAAAATCACAGATGAGAAGTTTTTGGATGACTTCAAAGACAGACACACACCCCACACACAATCATCCAAGTTGACATAAGGTTTATTGTTGAGTTTTGCTTTGTTTCTAGAAACAAAAAGGAAGGTGGGCGATTCTGATGATATTCAGCAATCTTGCATAGAGATTAGTCATTCCCATCCTTATTTCCATAAATCACACATGTTGAAATTGCCCAAAGTTTTTTGTGGTGTCTGTCCCCTTCCTTGGGTTGATAGTAAAAGGATGAACAACCTCAAAAATGTGATGCTCCAAGTCCTAGCTTTTCAGCACCATGTGTTCTTTGTTGTTCAGTCGCACAGTCAAGTCTGACTCTTCGCGACCCCATGGACCAGATCACTCCAGGCTCTCCTGTCTTCCACTGTCCTCTGAAGCTTGCTCAATTTCATGTTCGTTGCATCGATGACACTGTCTAACCATCTCATCTTTTGCTGTCCCCTTCTTCTTTGACCTTCAATTTTTCCCAGCATCAGGGTCTTCTCCAGTGAGTGCTCCCTTCTCATTGGGTGGCCAAAGTATTTGAGCTTCAGTTTCATTATCTGGCCTTCCAGGGAACAGTCAGGGTTGATTTCTTTTAGGATTGACTGATTTGATCTCCTTGCAGTCCAAGGGACTCTCAAGAGTCTTCTCCAGCACCATAGTTCAAAAGAATCTATTCTTCGGCGCTCGGCCTTCCTTATAGTCCAACGTTCGCAGCCATACATGACTACTGGGAATACCATTGCTTTGACCATGCAGACTTTTGTTGGCAGGGTGATGTCTCTGCTTTTTATCATGCTGTTTAGGTTTGCCATCGCTTTCCTCCCAAGGAGCAGGTGTCTTTTAATGTCATGGCTGCAGTCACCATCTGCAGTGATCTGGGATCCCAGGAACATGAAGTCTACAGTAGTAGAAGCCATTGCCCTTCAGTTCGGAAAAGGGTGCCGGTGGCTCTTATCTGTAGACGGGCAAGCGGATGTGGGCGTCCTGGTGGTCCAAGAGCCATGGCACAGACACGGTTTTGTAGCCTTTGCCCAACATCTGCTCTTTGATACACGGAGGGTTGATGTCATTGATGAGATAGGTAGAACCATGTGTTCTATCAGGGCTTAAATATGTGTGTGAAGTTGCAGCTGATTCATGGCGACCCCTGCAAGGGGCTTTCAAGGCAAGGGAGAAGCAGAGGTGGTTTGCCAGTGCCTTCCACTGCAGAGTCTTCCTTGGTGGTCCCCCATCCAAGTACTAACGAGGTTTGACCCCGCTTAGCTTCCAAGATCGGATGAGATCAGGCTATGCCATGCCACCTTCC